GGTAGAGCCCCTGCCTAGAAAAACCCAGTGAGGGGCTGGGGTGTGCTCAGGGGTAGAGCCCCTGCCTAGAGTCCCCCAGTGAGGGGTGCGGCTCAGGGGTAGAGCCTGGTTGGGTTGTTTCCTTGTCTGAGTTTTGCCCACAGCCTGCTCGTTCTCAGGAGCAGAGGCAGCTGAGCCAGGAGCGTGATCTCGTGGAAAGTCTTCGCCAGCAACTCAGGGAGGCCCAAGGGCAGCTTGACTCCCAGCCAGAGGACCAGAGGGAGAGGCTCTTGCAAGGGGTACAGGAGGTGAGGGCTTTGACCTTAGAAACGGTTCCATGTCTGTCATTAGGACCCAAAGTCCTGGCCTGGATCTCTTCCCTCAGGAGTGGGGTTCTGGGCTTCGCCCCCCTCAGTAGTGGGGTTCTAGGCTCTGTCCCCCCTGGAGCCCAGGAGTCCAGGCCCCAGGCTTTCTGACCCAGCATTCTCCCTCAGAGCCCCGCATCCCCCTTCCTCCCCGGGTCCGGGGTCCGGCGTGAGTCCCTGTGTCGCACCCGCAGATCAGAGAGCAGCTGGACGCCGCCCAGCGCACCTTCGAGGACCTGGAGTTCCAGCAGCTGGAGCGCGAGAGCCACGTGGACGAGGAGCAGGCCAGGCCCGAGGGCAGTGCTCCGGAGCCCAGGGTCCGGGAGCTCCAGGCCAGTGTGGCCCGGCACAGGGTGAGCCCGCCAGCCCACCTCCACCCCTCCCCCGTCTCCAGGACAGCTGTGGGGCCCTCGGTCACTACGGCCCGGCTCCTCTCCTGGTGATGAAGGCCGAGGCGCGTCCTCCTCCCCTCTGTTCACAAAGGCAGGAGCTGGGCTTGGCTGCACGTCCCTGTTTACTCGTGTGTTAGCGTGTGTGCGAGTGGCAAACAGCCAGAGAGCACCCTCCTTCCCGCACAGGGCCTGGCTTCCAGCTAGGGCTGAGGCGTGAGCAAGCACCTCCGCCCTTTGAGCCCCCGCCGGCCCCACTGTCCCAGTGAGCCCCC